GATCCGAACCCTCGGCGGGAGCACCGCCGCACTTCCCAAGCGGCGCACTATAGCAGTGCACAACCAGGCCGGCCCTATCCTTGAATATTCTATTTATACTTTTATTTTGTCAGTTTTTGCTTCATGTATTTTGGTGATATTTTGTTAGACACATGTATAATTAAACTACTTCTTTCAGACACCTGGATTGATTCTTTTATTATTATAAAATATCACTCATTACCTCTAATAATTTTTCTGTCTTGTTTTAATATCTATTTTGTGTAATATTAGTATTGATACTTCTTATAGTTTTCTTGTGCTTTCTGGTTTTGTTTTGCTTTTCCTTTGGTGGCTGGCCGGTACAGAGATCTGAACCCATGACATTGGTGTTTTAACACCACACTATCACTAACTGAGCTAACTGGCCAGCAGTCTTGTGCTTTCTGCTTGCATGATGTATCTACTTATATTCTCTTACTTTTAATCTATGTGCAGGTTTGAACCCAAAGTGTTACTATGGTAGACAACACAGAGTTTAATCTTTTCCCTTTTTTCAGTCTGGTGTTATTTTATTAGGTGCATATATATTGATATTAGTCTTTATTACTGATGGATTGATTCTTTTATCATTTTAAGATGTCCCTCATTACCTCAAATAAGTTTTCTTTGTTTTAATACCTATTTTGTGTGATATTAGTATAGCTACCAATTATAGCTTTCTTGTTCTTTCTGTTTGCATGGTATATCTATTCACAACCTTTTACTTCCAATCTATTTATACCTTTAAATCTAAAGTGTTCTGTAGACAGCATAGTGCTGAATCTTGTATTTTGTTCAGTCTGTTGATCTCTTCCTTTTGATTGGATTGTTTAATTGGTTCACATTTAATGTATTATCAACATAGTTGGATTTATGTCTTTCATTTTACCTTTTGTTGTAATTTTTATTTCTGCATTCCTCTTTCCTGCTTTATTCTTTTTTTTTTTTTTTTGTCTTTTTTCCGTGTCCAGCAATGGATCGCAACCCTCAGTGTT